CGCCGTAGCATCTTGCCCTCACTGCTTTGTCCTAACCGCCTTGTCCCTGGCTGCTGGGGGCGACTCCAAGTGTGGAAGAGAAGGAGCTGGGAGGTTCCAGAAAGTTCCAGGAATTCTGGGAGGTCCCGGAGGGTCCACACGCTGTGTAGGGTGCTCAGGGGAAGCTTGGCCCTGCCTGCAATACTCTGAGCTGCACGCAGCCTCCCGATGCTGTCCTGAGGAGTTGGAGGGGAGGGTGCTCCATGGCAGGACCTGCTGAGATGAAATCGCTGCCCGGCCAACGTCCCTGCTTTGAGCAGGGGGTTTACACCATGGAACGGTGCTGTCCACCTCAGGGACGGACGTCCAGGGACGTGGTCATGCAGAGGCCTTGGGGAGGAAGGCGTGAGTGTCCAAGACAACCACACGGCCTGGGGCAGTTGTGGGCCAGTCCTCGGCACTCAGTCACTCGTCCATGCATCCGGCTACTGAGGCCGGGAGAGTGGAGGCGATGGTGAGGACATCTGCTTTGGAAGGACGCTGAGCAGGCACCATTGGACGTCTTAATCTGTACATTTGTTGGTGATCTAGCGACGGGTTTGCGTGACCCACCTGGGCTGTGTCCCCAGCATTTGCGCAGGATAGGCACCGAGTAGTTGCTCCGTGAAATAATGGCCGTGCACCCTGCCCTAGCCCCAGACTGTGTTCTGCGGGCCGGGCTGTCCCCGCAGCTGTTGCCTCTGCCCCAGCCGCGGCTTGGGTGAGGACGGGCACGAGACGGGACCACTCCCTTCTCCGGTGCTGCCAGTCTCCACCTTCCGGCAGACGCTCAGGTCTGTTACCTGAGATTTCACAACTTCGAAGGGAAAACCAGCAGTGTCACCAGAGAACGCGCTAGAAATGCAAATTCTCAGACCGTACCCCAGACCTGCCGAATCTGAAACCCTGGGGTTGGACTCGGCAATCTGTGTTTTTATATATTGATTTATTTTTTTGAGTCAGAGTCTCACTCTGTTGCCCAGGCTAGAGTGAGTGCTGTGGCATCAGCCTAGCTCACAGCAACCTCAAACTCCTGGGCTCAAGCGATCCTCCTGCCTCAGCCTCCATGCCCGGCTAATTTTTTCTCTATATATTTTTAGTTGGCCAATTAATTCTTTCTTGTGTATAGTAGAGATGGGGTCTCACTCTTGCTCAGGCTGGTTTCGAACTCCTGGCCTAGAGTGATCCTCCTGCCTCAGTCTCCCAGAGTGCTAGGATTACAGGCGTGAGCCACCGCACCGGCCCAATCTGTGTTTTGAAAACAAGCCTTCTAGGTGGTTCTGATGGGTGCTCAAGTGTGAGAACTGGTGAGCTCAGGCACCCAGCAGGGGTGGCCTGCATTTGAGCCGGTTGCTTGTTGCCTTGGCAGAAGGAAGGGCCACCTTCCAGGTGCGGGGCAAGAACTGACGATTCCAAACCCTCATTCACCTGCAGCCAGAGGCCCATGTGCAGGTCCTGAGAATTTACCCAATGGCTGCAAATGAATCACTAGGAAATGTCATGACTTTGGCCCAAGAACTGTCGGCAGCAAGGGCTCCTTTCGGGCAGATGAAAGGTTCTTACTCCGGGGCCACACTTCTCAGCGAAGAACGAAATAGTTCTCATTGATCCCTTTTTATTCTGATGCCAGAAGGAAGTTTGAAGAAGATGACGCAAGTTAGGTAATTCCATGCAGGAAGAATTTTATGATCCTCCTGATATTAAGAAACATTATGCAAGTTTTTCTGTTGGTTTCGATGCTGTGCTGATTAGAACTGTAATCCATTCTGGGCCTCACACTCAAAGTTAAAAAATAAATCTAGCTTTCCATGGGAGATGAGAAGGAAACCATCAGAAATGAGAAGGAGAAATTTCAAGAAGCTTAAATTCTAAATGGGGGCCTGGAGCGGGCTGGGAAGATTGCCAGAAACTGTAGAAAGAAGACTCTCGTAGCCCCAGTAATAAATTATAAAGACAAAGATTTGCTAGCATAGGCCTTGTTCATTTTCAGTATGTTAACCAGAGTAAATAATGAAATCAGCTATTTATTTTGGCTGAGTAATGAGATAGAAAAGATTGATAGGATGATAAATTCTGTTTGCTGAACTAGTAAGCAGGCAAAGCCCTTAAATAGGGAAATAGTTCTATGTTCTTTGTTTCCATTATTCTCCACATAATTTGAAATACGCTATTTCCCTCCTGCTCTGTTTTACTAAATAATCCCAAGAAACTTTATGGCCCTCGAGCATCAATCCTTCATGAAAAACTAAAAGCAAAACCAAAACCAGGGCTGTGCCTCCACCCTGCTCAGAACCGAGGAGGAGATTGCCAGCGCAGACAGAGCCCTCTCTCGAACGCTGCCGGGGCGAGGGCAGCGCTGATGCCCCACCTTGACCTGTGACGGCTTGTGAGCCCCACCGGCTCCCTCAAACCCATCAAGTTTTCTAACAGCTCTTTAATACCTCGAAGCTACAAACAACCTCATTTGGGCAGATTCCAGATTTTCTCAGGTTTGAGCTCATCTTCTTTTGTCCCGTCCAGGTGGTGGAGGGAAATCTGCATAATTTAGAGGCTATTACTTTCTGTGTTTGAAGTCTGTCTGGTCTGAAGCCAGGAAGTAAACCTGAAACTCCAAGCCAATCTCTCCGCGTGTGGGCTTGTGCAGGCATAGACTCTCTCGAGAAGGACATTCGCACACCCGGTCACCCTGCAGAGTGGGGAACTGTGTCCAGGGTGGGTGGAGACTGAGATTACACTGTGTCCTTAAGGACATTTTAAATTGTGCACATGCAAATGTGTTCTCTATGTAAAAGAGAAATAAAATAATTTGTTTTTTATTTTATTTTTTTTGAGATAGAGTCTGGCTTTGTTGCCCGGGATAGAGTGCCGTGGCATCAGCCTTGCTCACATCAACCTTAAACTCTTGGGCTCAAGCGATCCTCCTGCCTCAGCTGGGACTACAGGCATGCGCCACCATGCCCCGCTAATTTTTTCTATATATATATACTTTTTAGTTGTCCACCTAATTTCTTTCTATTTTTAGTAGAGATGGGGTCTCACTCTTGCTCAGGCTGGTCTCGAATTCCTGACCTTGAGCCCGGGCAGGCGGGGAGCCCCCAGGGGGATGAGCTGCCCCGAATTAACTGCCCACCCTGCTTTCCCGCAGGTCATCTGCGACAAAATCTTTCGCCACTGGTTTTCCGCGCCCCTCAAGAGCTCCGCCGTCTCCTTCCAGCTGCAGCTGCAGCTGCGGGACGCGGTGCGGGAATGCGCGGACTCCCCGAGAGCAGCCCCCAGTGTGTTCTGGAAGCTTCGCCGGCTCCTCCAAGCCGCGCAGAGGGAGCTGCAGGGGGCAGAGAAGCAGCCGCTTCTCCGGCCTTAAGGATGCTCGCACAGGAGCAGTGACCGTCCAGTGACTCCTTCTGCGGCGTTTAAAGGGGACGTTTTCACCGGCCGACGTGCAGTCCCCGAGATGCCGCCACGCTCTCCGGAAGCCTGAACCGCTCGAGCTGCGGCTCCGCTTCAGCTGCGGGGCTGTGGCCTCCCTCGCCGCGTCCTGGCTCGGTTCGCTCTCTCGTTTTAAGATCCCCGCTGGGCCTCGACCTGTCCCCCTGCGTGGGGTGAAAGGAGGAAGGGGGCACAGAGGCCTCTCGGCCCAGCCGCGGCCGCCGTCTGCAGAGAGCGCCGTTCCCGCCCACCGGAGCAAACCAGTGCTGGCCGTCCTTCCTGTGCAGCGTCACCACGTTAAAAAATAGTGTGTGTGTGTGTGTAAATGAGTGAGTGTGTACAAAGAAATGTGAGGGTGTCCACGCGTGGGTGTGCACAAGTGTGTGTGCACAAGCGTGTGTACCCATGACATTTGTGTGAATGTGAGTGTGCGTAGGAAAGAGCGTGTTCATGATGCGTGTGAGGAGTGTGCGCGCCGGTGCGTGTGAACGGGTGTGTGCTGTGAGTGTGCGCACATGCCAGTGTGTGTGTTCGTGTCTGAGCACGCGCACGTGGGTGAGCCTGTGCATGTGAGTCCTGTGCACGGGAGCGCGTGTGCGTGAGTAGTTGAGTGTGCGGGGCATGTGGTGTCTGGGCGGGGACTGGGTTCCCTAGGGTGTCCTCTGGGACAACTTGCCTACCTGGCAAAGGAGCAGCTACCTTTCTTTTGGAATTAAATACAATAAAAAACAAAAAAGTTGTATCTTTAGGGAACGTCGTTCGGGTTGAAGAGTGTGTAGCGGCGGCCTGCAGCGTCTGCGTCTTGCAGCGTTTGCGTCTTGCAGAACCCGCTGACTTTAGGGGTCTGTCTCAGGGAGCACTTTGCCGCCCACGGCGATGCCTCTTCCCTGGTGCGGGGGCTGCGGGCCACTCAGTGCGGCGGCGCTGTGGCCGCTGGGGAGAGAAGGCAAAGCAGGGCGAGTGCTGAGTCAGCACTGGCTGCAGGCGGGGCCAGAGACCAGCCTCTCCTCTACTGCTGGAGACTGAGTCACGGGCACTCTGGGGACACGAGTCTCCAGGCCATGCCCGGGTCTGCACCTGGGCTCCCCCTGAGGACACAACTCGAGGCACCAGGATGGCCCGGGGCCCCCAGCTCTGAAGTCTGCCCTCCCAGAAGACTTGCCCGAAGGCCACCGTTACCTGTGACGACCGTTGCTCGTGTCAAGAAAACACATGCATTACTTTGGGGGGAGAAAACTGCTCGCCCAAGGGCGTGCTGCACTTTTCTTGGCTTGCCGAGGGAGCCTCTGCGGATCTGCACTCTGGGCGTGGGCCCCCAACACATCGGAAAAGGAGGCCGCCAAACCGCCCCTGACCTCCTACTGAGCACGCGTGTCCTGTGATAGCCGTGTGCTCTTTGATTGCAGTGGTGGCTATTGAACGTGGACATGGCCTTTTTGAAGCCTAAAATGAGGGAAAATCCTTGACAAAACTGCACGGGAGAAGAGGACTCGCAATTTCTTCGACTGTTCTCCAAGTGCGATTTGCGAGCTCAACACAGTGTGGATCGCAACGGCGTGTAACAGTCCAACCTGCCAGGTAGAGCGGCTTTCTGCCGGCAGCCGGGGACCGGTGGGTGTCCCTCCTGTCCTTTCTGCCCCAGCGACGGAGAGCCCCTAGCAGGGGCGGAAGGCAACCTTTCCACGCCGAAGTGGCCAATATGCGGGACAAGTGCAAGCGACGGATAGGTTCACTTGTTCTCTGTTGCCTAACGCATCACACATAATTTCACACGTGCTGCACGCACGATACAGCACACAAACCCCAGACGACCCGTCCTGCAAGGACAAGACTGACAAAGAGTTGCCAGGCAGTCCTGAGGCCACTGCCGAGCTAGTTGAGGCTGGGCAGCACCGCCAGCACAGAGGGGCAAGGGGCAAGGGGTGAGCCAGTCGGTGCCTGGGCAGGAGAAGCCCCGTCCAGGGAGGTCCGCAGTCAGGGATCCACACACCCGGCGGGGGCGTTCACCGTCAGCCACACGCGTGCCCTCACCTGGGGCTCTCAGGTGGGGGGACACACTGCCCAGCGGGTGCTGGCTGTAACGGCAGGTAGGCCTAAGGCTGTGCAGGCCGCAGTGGTCCACTCCCGCCTCTGCCTGGCGCCCTGCCCTTGCTTAGCCCGGCCTGCCCGGCATCTTCCTGCTTTCCGCTCCTCCTATCCACCTAGCCCCAGTCGCCCACTGTGGGCCCGTTCCCTTCTTCCCCTCCGCAACCCCGGCAGGGCCAGCATGGCCCAAGAGCAGGCCCACTCGTGGCGCTTGTCCTCTGCCGCATCCAGCCAACCGGGCAGGCCAGCGTGGCCCAGTGGCAGCACCACGGCACGTACCTCCGCTGCCTCACCACACGCAGCAGGCCACGTGGCCGCAAGTGCAGCCCACTGGTGGCCCGTCCTCTGCCCTCCACACACTGCAGGCCAGTGCTCCTAGTGCGCCCCGAATTGGCGCCGTCGTCTGCCCTCTGCAACCCGGCAGGCCAGCGCGGCCCAGTGCAGACCGCACGCAGATAGAGCAGAGCAGCCAGCAGGGCCATGGATGGCATGGCTTGTTGCTCCGAGCTGGAGGACCGAGCTTGGGGACACCGGCCAGCCGTGGGGTCCATCCTGGTGGTGCCGCCAGCCGAGCACACAGCCCCGTTCTGCAGCCCGCAGAGTCTCCACAAACTTCCGGGCCATTCCAGAGTCAACAGGTGCTTCCCCTGTAGCACCCCGGCGGTCAGCGACGTCTCCATCCGGCCTCTCCTGTGCGTGTGGCACTCACCTTGCTGCGGTCCCTCGTGAGCACTCTGGAGCTGCAAGGAAGCAGGTAATATTTATTAAAGCGTCGCCACTTTGCGATCCATGCACAGGAGACTCAAGCACCTCCCTTTGCCGCATAATGAGGGTCCAGGTCACTTCCCTAATATAGACAGGTCGGTTCTGATAGTCCTTAAGAGGCAAGAGGAACACACAAAGAAATTGGCAAGAGAAGAACAGGTCGCAGCAATCCACAATGATGAAATTCAAATGCCAACAACTGAAATTATTAATCTTACCATCAAAGACATAGCAACTTAAAATTCAATGGTAATGGCCGGCATGAGGGCTCACGCCTGTAAATCCTAGCACTCTGGGAGGCGAGGTGGGCGGATCGCTCGAGGTCAGGAGTTCGAAACCAGCCTGGAGCAAGAGCGAGACCCCATCTCTACTAAAAAAAGAAATAAATTGGACAACTAAAACATATAAGAATGGAAAATAGCTGGCATGGTGGCGCATGCCTGTAGTCCCAGCTACTCGGAGGGGCTGAGGCAGGAGGATCGCTTGAGCCAGGAGTTTGAGGTTGCTGTGAGCTACGGCTGAGCCACAGCTTCCTAGCCTGCGGCAACAGAGTGAGCTTTTCTCAAAAAATAAAAAAAAACTTACTGGTACATCCACACGATTTAGATGTAGCCATTAATAGAAATGGAGTCATACTATAAGGAAGATTGGAGGATTCTCTCTATGCAATTGTGTAAACAGGAACCCGTTGTGGGGCCCCGGCTAATTTTTTCTCTATATATTTTTAGTTGGCCAATTAATTTCTTTCTATGTATAGTAGAGATGGGGGTCTCACTCTTGCTCAGGCTGGTTTCGAACTCCTGGCCTAGAGCGATCCTCCTGCCTCAGTCTCCCAGAGTGCTAGGATGACAGGCGTGAGCCACCGCACCCAGCCCAATCTGTGTTTTGAAAACAAGCCTTCTAGGTGGTTCTGATGGGTGCTCAAGTGTGAGAACTGGTGAGCTCAGGCACCCAGCAGGGGTGGCCTGCATTTGAGCCGGTTGCTGTGTTGCCTTGGCAGAAGGAAGGGGCCACCTCCCAGGTGCGGGGCAAGAACTGACGATTCCAAACCCTCATTCACCTGCAGGCCAGAGGCCCACGTGCAGGTCCTGAGAATTTACCCAATGGCTGCAAATGAATCACTAGGAAATGTCATGACTTTGGGCCCAAGAACTGTCGGCAGCAAGGGCTCCTTTCGGGCAGATGAAAGGTTCTCTTACTCCGGGGCCACACTTCTCAGCGAAGAACGAAATAGTTCTCATTGATCCCTTTTTATTCTGATGCCAGAAGGAAGTTTGAAGAAGATGACGCAAGTTAGGTAATTCCATGCAGGAAGAATTTTATGATCCTCCTGATATTAAGAAACATTATGCAAGTTTTTCTGTTGGTTTCGATGCTGTGCTGATTAGAACTGTAATCCATTCTGGGCCTCACACTCAAAGTTAAAAAATAAATCTAGCTTTCCATGGGAGATGAGAAGGAAACCATCAGAAATGAGAAGGAGAAATTTCAAGAAGCTTAAATTCTAAATGGGGGTCTGGAGCGGGCTGGGAAGATTGCCAGAAACTGTAGAAAGAAGACTCTCGTAGCCCCAGTAATAAATTATAAAGACAACAGATTTGCTAGCATAGGCCTTGTTCATTTTTCAGTATGTTAACCAGAGTAAATAATGAAATCAGCTATTTATTTTGGCTGAGTAATGAGATAGAAAAGATTGATTAGGATGATAAATTCTGTTTGCTGAACTAGTAAGCAGGCAAAGCCCCTTAAATAGGGAAATAGTTCTATGTTCTTTGTTTCCATTATTCTCCACATAATTTAGAAATACGCTATTTTCCCTCCTGCTCTGTTTTAGTAAATAATCCCCAAGAAACTTTATGGCCCTCGAGCATCAATCCTTCATGAAAAACTAAAAGCAAAACCAAAACCAGGGGCTGTGCCTCCCACCCTGCTCAGAACCGAGGAGGAGATTGCCAGCGCAGACAGAGCCCTCTCTCGAAACGCCGCCGGGGGCGAGGGCAGCGCTGATCCCCCACCTTGACCTGTGACGGCTTGTGAGCCGCCACCGGCTCCCTCAAACCCATCAAGTTTTCTAACAGCTCTTTAATACCTCGAAGCTACAAACAACCTCATTTGGGCAGATTCCAGATTTTC